AATTCTTTATACACAGCGTCAGTTTATGTTTTATAGGAAAACGCCTCAGCTGAAACACAGAGAACATTTAAAGTTTCCGAACACGCTCCCTGCCTGGTGTCCTCGGTGATAACGCTGCCGTGGCCCGTGGCCTCTCCGGGGCGAAGGGCCTGAGTCCTGGTTGGAGAACATACGCTGGGCCATGGGTCCATTACAGTGGGGAGACAGAATTATAATAATTATGCTGCAAGTAGCTATGAAGCCTCAGAATGCCTCCGCACTTGTTCCCTAGCGAAGCTCACGTTCTATCATCTGTTACAGTTTATATCGACCATTAAGCCAGGCAAAGCTTGCTGATCTGCAAGATAAACGATGGTACTTAGTCCCGCCAACCCCGTAACCCGCACTCTCTGTTCCTGATTTATATATATACGTATATTCATATGATTTATATATATATATATAATTTATATATATATGATTTATATATATTCATATATATAGTCAACAACAATGATACGTATCAGTATGAGCTGTGATTTTTATATTATTCCATATTTGAATTATGCAAATTTAAAGTGAGGTCTAGTGTGGTATATAAAGTATTATGAGCTGACCTCTGGACAAAAATGTATCAACAAATACAGATACGCGTGTTTGCATGCACACATACTCACACACACACACACACGCGCGCACACAGACACACTCACACACAGGCACACACAGACGCATGCACACACACATGTGCTCACACACACACACTCACACAGAGACGCATGCACACACACACACATACACACACAGGATGAGCCAGAAGGAGCTGGAGGGAGAAAGGAAGATAAGGGCAGGAGGGAAGGAGCTGTAAAGAGGTAAAGAGGCTGGCTGAGTGGCTGAACCAGGAAGGGCGGGGCCGCAGGCTGAAATGCCGGCCTCAGCGGCAGCCCTGAACTGGCAAAGCAGGTTTGGTGGGTTGAGTGAGCTGCCAACTTCACTCTTTCCCAGGGGGACAGTTATCAAACCCCCTCCCCCACCAAAGCAGACCCCACTGGCCAGCACGTCACCATGTTTTTCAAGAGAAACAGAGAGTTCACATTTTAAATATGGAAATCTCTTGATTTTTAAAAATGTGGCCAAAAGTTCAAGTAAAACAAATATTGAAGGGGCCTCAGAAAACCACACCGGCACCCTGACCGTCTCCGCAGGCCACCTTCTGCCGCCCGGGGCTCAGGCGTCCAGTTGAAACTCTCCCCGAGACAGGTAGTGACACCTAGGCAAAGTTCATCTCCCTTTTGTTTATTGTTTTAAAAATATATGTGTATTGATCTCAGAGAGGAAGGGAGAGGGAGAGACAGAGAGAGAGTGAGAAACATCCATGATGAGAGAGAATCATGGATCGGCTGCCTCCTGCACGCCCCTACTGGGGATCGAGCCCACAACCCAGGCATGTGCCCTTGACCAGACTCGAACCGTGACCTCCTGGTTCACAGCTTGATGCTCAACCCCTGAGCCACACGGGCCAGGCTTCATCTCAGTTTTAAACCTTCACGTGGGCAAAGCACTGTGCAGGGTCCAGAAACTTCCTACAAGACGCCTGTGCAAAGGAATGAACAAACGACAGAGCCAGAAACCAGCATCCAAAAATGCGGATCTGCTTCTTAGCACCTCCTGACCCCGAGCCCTGGAGATACCGAGAATCCCAACGACACACGATACTAACGAGGGCGCTAATGACAGGTGGGTGCGTCAGCAGCTGTGCCAGCTCGAGGTCCCTGAGAAAGACACGGCCTCCTCCAGGCGCTGCCCACACGACCCCAGACCCCACGAATAACCAGACTCAACGGGAGAGAGTGTGTGGCCGAGGAAACCAAGGAAGCCCACACCGGAGTGCCCAGGAGCCTCAGCAGGGGGCCTGGAGCCACGGCCCTTTCCTTACAGGAGCCGGTGCTGCTGCCCACAGTGGCCTGAGAGGACAGACGGTAAAACAATAAGTCTCCCCCCAGCCCCGGTTCCCAGCTCCCTTGTTGTCCCCGGGGGGGAAGGCAGTCAGCACAGTTCTGTGTCTCAAAATATCTTCAGAGGAGCCGTCGGGTGCATGTCCATCCAACTGGAAGCCTGTTTTAGAAACGCATGTTCCTGCGGAATTGTACGGTCGGAAGGGACCTCATCCCATCCCTGACTCCGCTTCCCCTGGTCCCCGACGCCCCTGCAGGCACCCCTCTCTCAGGATGGGGAGCCCCGTCCCACTCGGAGGCACCTCATCCCACGTGGAGGCGCCTCCCAGTTTACCCAAGATCCGTTTTTAAATTCTGAAAGGCAGGCTTTGATGCTTTTCCTTGTCCCTTCTCGCTGTGACCTCCAAGGCCAGAGAAACAGGTGGTCAGATGCCCCTCGAGAAGACGGGGCTGAAGTGTGTGGAGGCCGCTCCCACGGTTTTGTACTTAACAAGCTCCACCGTTATCCGTCCGCTCCGATCCGGACTCTCCACTTAACTGCCGAAGAATACCAAGTCACGAGTGTCGCTCCCAGGTCACCAGTTCAGGGAGGAACCAAACTTCACATCAGTGTCCAGGGGGGTTGGGGATGACCATTCCTCCATCCCCGGGGTGGGCCCAGTGCCCTGGGGGCAGGCAGGGGGTCTGGTGAGGGCGGCTGGGATCTGGGTGCAGAAGGGGTGCGAGGACACCTGTCCGGAGGGGAAGGAGCGAGTTGCAGACATGGCGCAGCCCAGGTTGGTGCAGCCCGGGAGCCTCATTCCTCTGGCCCGTCCTCAGGGAGCTGCCCCGGTGGGCGCTCCTGCCTGGCCCCTTGCGGCTGCCTCGGGCCAGCTCTCCTGGAAAAGCACCCCACTTGGGTTGGTGTCCAGCCTGTATTCCCAGCGCTTGACTTTTGCGCAATAACTGACCACAGGCATTTGCTCTCAAGCACCGTGGCTGGTGCCGGCCTCTGAGGGCTGTGGGCTCGGGGCCTCCTGCATTCATTCAGTTAACACTTCGCAGGCCCGGCTCCGGGCCAGGAGAGGGCTGTCCCGGTTCAGACGATGTCGCGGATGCTTGGCGGGACGTGAAGGGCCCTTCCGACTTGAGAGCTCCAACTCAGCCACCGGGCACTCCTGTCCCCCGGCCCCGCGCGGGACAACGTGGCTGCCAGGCGGTCCTCTGTCCCCACGAGGCTCCCGGCGCTGCGCAGGCCATGGGCGAGATAAAGGGGCGCTGCCCCATCCGTGCCATTGCCCGGCCTGGGCCCCGGCTGGGCCAGCTCACAGGGAGCTGGTCCCAGTTTGCTCGGCAGGTGGAAGGGAGGGGGACCCTGGCACCCATTTGGGTGCACGCAGGCTGGGTCACCTAGTTCCCAGGCCGAGTCCTGGCCCACAGGGCAGGGAACGCCCTCTCGGAGACTAAGTAGGGCGCCCGCTGGGCTCCCGCGCGCCGCCTCCCTCCCGCCCGCCCTTCTCGGAGCGCCCGGGCCCGCGGGCCACCTCCGTCCGC